CCCCCCCCCCTAAGGGGAGGTGGAAGAGATAGCGAAAAAAGATTTATTGGTTTAAGCTCAGGAACTAACTTAAACATGTGCATATGTATGTTGACAATGAGAGTTATTTGTGCGCAAACAAAGTCATGTCTAGTACCGATCCTAATGGAGAAGGCAGCTAATCGATTATGAGATCCTTCTATTTCCTGTAGTTGAAGTTTTCAACAACTGACAGTTCGATCGGATGACGATATGCATTGAAAATTACGAATTTACGAACCGCTTCTGTTCGGCGTCAGACTGGTCCGATTTTTTCCCATTGTCGAAAAAAGCGGTTTATAACAGTATAGCAGTGTAGCTGATGTTCAAGCTCTTCGAATATCTTCACCCAAAGCTTAGCAGCATCGTTTATAATACTGATATTTCTCTACAAGGGTTCTTTCAAGTGGTCTGATGCGGTCAATAAGTAAAGTAGCTGAAATGTAAAATTAGAAATTAGAATTAGAATTTCCTGAAACGTAGGGATGCTAATATTGCGCAACATCCAATTGCTCGTTAGGTAAAATTTTTTATGAAATAAATGGCCCAGAAAAGAGGAAGGTGAGGAATACAAAACTGAATGGCCCCATGACGGTTTCAGGTATTAGTATGCAGGTCTTTCGTTGAAAGATTTTTATCTGTTGAGCTTGAGTCTTGCCATATTGCTGTTCCTGTGTATTTACCAATGCTATTTTTTTGTTGCCTTGACATGTTCGATGCCTTACGCTTGATTTCGCTATCCAGTCATTGCGACAGACACCTTTGCCTTTTCTAGAGCCGAATGCATGTTAGACAAGATACTTACGACTGTCTCACATACTCATGGATAACCATCTATTGGGGCAAAGTTTTGGCGTACTTCCTTTCTCAAACAGCTGCGTGAACCACTTGTCACCTATTTCACATCTGCGTAGCTGACTGCCTTTTGCTGCACACTTCTAGAGGGAGGAGGGTGGGATATGCAAAAAAATGAAACTGTCAGACATCGTGATCGCCGAAACGCATGTTGCGTAGGTGAGTACTAGCTTTCACGTATGCTCTGTTTTCATCTGAAAGACAAGGGTTTAAAATGTCAACGGCAAAATTGAGCGCATAGGCACGAGATTTTAACGTAAAGTTAATCACTTCGTTTGTAGTACGGGAACAGAGCCTTGGTGTACTGTCGTCGCTTTCCTGGTTCGTTCTGTTTTTGAATTCCTTCAGAAAGATAGGCGAAACAGTTGTTACTTGCTCAACTGACTGGCCTAAGACCCTGGGAATTGCCAAGAATGTCCTGAGATAGGTTCTTCTACAGACTTCACCAGACTCAAGGTCACCTTCCGCTGAAGCGCAGACGTTGGCGTAGGGGCGGGATTGTTGGAGACATTATTTGACGCTGTTGTCTCCACGGCCTGAAAGTATAGGCTTTCATCGAAACTGGATGAAGAACTGGCTGGCTGGCTGACTCGTAGGGCAAAATGGTTACACAGTTAGCGTGTGGTATCAAATCTCAGGCCCAATGTAAGTAATAAAACATTCCTTTAGCTTAATGTTATTTTCTTTAAACTTTATCATTAACTGCAGGACTGACAGCATGCTACGGTCATCAAAATTGACAGCAATCAGCTTGTCTCATGCAGTGCAAACATCGTAGTTAAGATTTCTCTGAAATTTTTCCAGTCAGTCTAAAACCGCTGATCTCCCTTTTCGTGGAAAACTCACAAAAGCCTATTCCGTTTATTGTAGCACTATCATTAGACTCAACACAATTCCAGTGACAACCAAGTATTGTTTGTCATCTTTCGAACATACTCTTTGCTTGCATAATAATGTGATCCTGTGGTGTAGTCTATGCTTATCGTTAACCAGGTATAGATAAAATCTTAATACTGCTGTCTCCGTCACTTTTGTTTGTATATTACTTTTGTGCTGTGTGTGCAGAAAATAGCTTATTTACTATGTTTCTCGATGCTGATAACTACATTTTAACATAACTGAATAAATTTGAACTAACACTTTTTCGCCTATTGATCATTATACGATTAGGCGGGCAACAACGTTCCGGAGGACGTGGTGAGTAGCATGATTCAGCTGATATCTGAGCATTCTGAGCTGCAAGCTTATGCCTCGTACCATCTTTATCTGGCCGCCTTGGAAGACGTATGCTCCACGCAACCGTTGCTCCAGGTACGATTCATCGTCTGTTAGTCCGTTACACACACGACCTAGGTTGCCTGTTGGACGATCGGTGAATTCAGTGATCTGCTGATATCTTATCAGGACCCGGACGAAGTCGGCCAGTGTAAAGTATGGAAAGATGATTGTCTTTCGATACGTTGTAGTTTCAGTATTTTAGGTTACCGAGCAGAACATCGTGCTCATTCTGCAACAGATCTTACTGAGCAGCTTATCGACGTTGACTACGAAGGAGTACGCATTGACGGCCATCACAAAAGTCACCACTCGGATTCCGGACGTACAAAAAGAGATTGCTAACTTATTAAGGTCTTTCACGTGCAACATGTCGCTGGAACTGCAACAACGGTCTCTGGAATACTCGCATCTGATTGATCTACATCATTTGAGGTCAGTACTTCCAACTGTAATTTGCTTATGGTTTTTCATTATCTCCTTTCTAATTTTTGCTCATGCTTTTAACATTTACAGAACCGTTAGTAATGAACAGGTTTTGAATAACGTCTTAGTTCCGGAAAGTTTTGCTTTGCTATCAGCTTTAAAACGTCGTAGCTGCAACAACTCTGCTTATACGCACTTACCAAGAATAATTCCCAGTATTAATTTATTCAATATTTTTGTTAAGCACAAACATTACTGTATCCTTACCTTAATTTAATGTAACTTTATCTTCGTAACAGCTACGCCATATATGTCATTGTTTTGATTTACTTGTAAGACTGAGTGAATATGTAAAGACGATTATACGTAGCAAGTGTTTTGTAGCTTTCTATATATTGCTTTAGTTATTGCCGTAGTTTTCTATATATTGCCGTAGTTCTCTTATCATTCTCATCTGGTCATTAGGTCTGCTTTATAAATCTGAAAGTTGCAACAATATTGTTACAGAAATTGAAGTTTCAGATTTTACTAGTTTTCGCTAGGTTAGCCTGCTGTTAATTCCGTCCATTCCCCCATAACTTCACTCCACTTTCCATCGCCGCTTGCCCGTTTGAATCGCGGAGGCAGACGTGTCACACAGTGCTTCCAACGTTAATGATCCTGTGCCATAGTCTGAGCTTCGGCAGAAGAGAGCTGAAGTCTAGAGAAGACTCGTTCTATACATTTGCACCAGGTTAATCTTGGCTGTCCTCTGGGCCTTCTCAGCAGGAAGTAGTTGCTTCGCTTTTCTTTCCGGGGGTATTCGCAAAACATGTGCAGTCCATCGTAACTGTGACTTCTGGATCAGAAGCAGCAGCTGTATACCATGGCTGTCACAAATGTCCGTACTCCAGACCAATGTGAGACAAGTAAGGCCATTGACTCGTCTCAGAAAGTCCTTTCAGCCACTTGTATCCGGGATCAAAATTTTTCATTCATGGTCCACGACTCATGACCATAGGTAAACATGGGGATGAAGATCGACTTAAATACCGAGAGCTTAGTTGTCAGACTCAGCTCTGCTTTAGTCACAATGATCCATTCCAGCAAAATCCTACTGGCTGTTCCAATCCGCCGCTGGATCTTTTTCTCAAGTTTTCCATCACTAGTAAATACGACTCCGAGGTACTTGAACTTCTCCACCTGCTCCACTGCTTCCCCATTAATTTGCAACAGACAGGAGAACGAGAAAGCACTAGGCTTTTCGTTTTAGAGGTGTTCACATGCATGCCAGTTACATCACACTCTACTGCGAATCTTTCCACATAGCATTGCAAATCAGTTTCAAAAGAGCCTACAAAAGTAGTTCGCCTGCAAACAGCAATCTTCTCGTTTCTGTATCTCTGACGCTCAAACTTTCAGAACCTGGCTGCGCCTGATTATTCTATCCATGTACAACACAAACAGGAGAGGGTACAGAACACAGCCTTGCCGCAGACCAGCTTGAACGCTGAAAAGTCGCAATTTAACGCCATTTACTTTTACGCAGCACTTGCTATCGAGACGTAATGAATGGTTGACTTGTTGCTTAGTTTCAGTTAGTGGCATCTTTAAATTCACGGTTTACCGAACTGCCAGTAGCTCCTTCTTGCCGTTTTCCTCTTAGTCTTGACTAAGAGGTGCGAAGCGGCGGCGGGGTGCTTGACTTTGTCACATAAGCTGCTTTGTAGATTACATTGTTGAGCATTTCATAGACATGCCTTTAAGCAGAAGTCCACAACCATTGACGCTATGCCCAAACCTCCCATCTCTCTTACCATTATATTTCGTGACTAAATTTTTCCCTCGTGACTGGATCTGTCTTTCGTATATTCGCAATTTTCTTACGCTTTTTGGTCGCAGGGCTTTTGAATTTGTAGTCGGTCTTTGTCTTAAGTTCTTACAAATGAAGTTTTTTGAAGCTTTTTCGCGTATAGTGCTGTGAGGACCTTATACGATATATCTTTTCCTTTTTTTCTGAGATTATAAAATGTGTTCCTCTGTATATTACAAAAAATTACCCTAAGAGACTGATTTAAAACATTTTTTGGGAGAGTTATTCGCCTAGTGACGAAGTAAAGAATTACATCCGAACATATTTTCCTGTATATGTGATAGCATAAAAGAAGTCATAGCTCGTCATATTTCGTTGCTCCAGCAATATTATGCAGGACATATGCAACTCTGTTAGTACTTAAATATTATAAAACTATGGCCTGCTTTAATGTCCCCCAGCAAGTTGAAGCAAAGAGGCTGTGAAAATATGTGAAATCTAATTTCGAAGAAGTTCTGCACCAACAGGCTATTATAATATATCGATTATAGTTGCATTACCGTTTTGAAAATTGTGATAAATGTTGTATTTGCATTTTAGGAATGCTTTGTTAGAAAGGATGCCGATTATCACCGGCAAGTCACTGCATGCTGCTGCAGCTCCCATTCAAAATGGGGACGTTGTCGGTAATGAAAGCGACTTGTACGACGAGCGGGAAGAAGCTTCTGCGGCGACCAATGCTGTTGATGTGCAGCCTAAGAAAACGGTCGATTTGCTCGGACTGTTAGACGATTCACCTCCGGATCCTGTCACGAGCGAAACTATGCCTTCTAAACCGAGTTCCCAGCATCCAGCAGATGTACACCAGGACCTTTTGGGTCTGTTTGGCTTTTCTGAAGGTGCGTGTCTGAGTCAGTGTCCAGCGCATAAGCGATGTTGTCTACATTCTAAATCTGCAGCACGGCACCGTTTTGAAACCTACCTTACAGTTTCTTTCTCTAAACAGGAATAGTCAGATGAGCGGTGGCAGTCGGTATATTTTGTTTTCTTTATAGTACAACGAAACTTTGTTAACCGTGTAAGCGGTTATCAAGAGCTGTACGCAAAAGCAACTATAGCTGCACCTCATAGCTGAAATTGAAAGTTTTTTCTATAATACTGGGCCTAGAAGATTTGGGACAAAATGATAAATATAATCGCTGGCTGTTACATGGCACAATTACAGTGAGGAGTTTCAAGATGCATGCGGCCGTCAGGAACGATTTATAGAAGGGCTCTAAAAATTCTTCAATAGGACTGTATTATGGTAAACATTGAAATAAAAAAAAAACCACGGGCAGAATTTAGCTTTAACTGTCACGCATCACCTACAGAAGAAATTCGGGGTATGATATGCTTCTGTCGCAGTTGCGGATCCTGTGGACGGAATTTTTGGAGTTTTTTTCCCTGAAATGCGAAGGTGAGAACTGTTTATCTAGAACCATGCTGTTTTTGCAAGTATACAGCTTAAGATTAGTGAAGATTCCCAAAAACCGGACGAAAATGGTGGCAACACGAAATAATTGAAATCTTGCCATTTACACAAAATATAGATGAATCACTCTACCACCCATTTTATAAGTGGCACGCAGACCCCTTGGCAGGTTTAGGGGACCATATATAATTAACTGCCACCGAATTAAGCATATTTTTGGGGCGAACACTTATGCATGAACAGCATATTTCTGCTAAAGCGAATAGTCGACTAGTGTAGAAGCTACCAAATGCCCGGACACCATAATATCTTTTTCTAGACTTCCTGATAGCTTTCGAATCTGTACAATTCCTTCAGGCGGCAGACCACTTGAATCAGCACGTGGATTTTACAGACGTGCAAAGGCTGATGGAAAGTCTATGCTAATTGGCAAGAAGGTTCTTCAGAACTGATCGATCATGTCAAGCAGCTTCAACATCAAGTGGATTTGTCAGGGCAAAGACGTGGTCTTCTTTCGATTGTGCAGCATCATGATTAACTACGATAGTTGTAAAGAGTATAGTTCCAATCAACAACGACTTACTGATCGTTAGCCAGCGATTCAATTTAAGGCACCCGACGGTGTTTTTAACAAACCTTGAAGACGTCATGCTGCCGAGCGTCCTCGCAGACTGCCTGTTTACACTCATCATGAATGTATAATGTGACAGTGGGGGTTGGACTAAAGCGAAAGATCATGAAGGAGGTGCTGTCTTGTAGTCGCTTCGCGTCCAACAATTGGGGGATACTAATGAATAATTCAGTTATAGAGGAACTTGAGCATTTCAATTATTTTGGTTCTATCCTCCATAAAATGTGACTCTGAGTTAGAAATGAATTAGCGCGTTAGACTGGTGTAACAAGGTTCAGAATACCCTGCAAAATATGGAACATTCTGCCTACAGTAATAGCAGTGATGATCTCCATGTTGAATCAGCCGCATTCAAGGTGCTCACGTACTGCCGGAAGCGTCTGCTGTCCTACGTATCATGAGGATTGTCAGAACAGCATCGAACAATGCTGTCTAAGTCTTCTAAAAGTGCTGTCAAGGTGCGATTGCATCACCGAGTCACGAATAAACAGGTAGCGGTTGATGACCACCGTTAAGGCCGTATTTGCTTAACTACACCTCAGTCTAAAGCTTGGTTTCATAAGCGATTCAGAGCATGAATGGATAATTGCTCAACACCTTATTCCCATCCTGTTCGTTCGTTTTCCGCATATCAGAGCCATCAGTTGAAAGGGGTCTGAACTTACACACACTTTTAACGGCTGTGTTGTCCAAGCTTCGTTAGCCTTAGATCCACGGACAGTAAACTGTGCTTGATGATCTTTGCTGTTCCCGTTTTAAATGACGTGACGTCCATGTGCTGAAGACTTGTTTCTTGAGGGCATGTTCCAGATCCGTAAAATATAACGTATATACAACAAAAACTGGCCGCTGTTTGATAACATCTCTAAGAATATATCATTTAGAATTTTTTGGCTGTAGTTTAAATAAAGTCGAATAGCAGCAGTTGTTACCGTAGGCTTTTGGCTAAAATATTAGTGTTCTATGTACTGGCTCAAAAGGCGTATGTCTCATGCATACTTGAGGTGTTGCGCTTTGATCTTATAATTGTAATTTCATTTAGCACATATATTGCAAATTTTTGAGCTTCGTTGACATTGTGTTAGTGAACATCGCGTCTGAAGTCTCATAAATCAGAACTCCCATATATCTGTGCACCCATCTTCTGATTTACATGATTAATGCGGTGGAAATTAGTAAATGTTTCATGAAATTCTCATTAGTTTCAATGTAGAATACCTGGCTGCCCCTCATTTTCAAAAAAAAATTTCCCAATGTTTTCCATACTCATAGCCAGGTGCTGTGCAGTAATAAATGTTTTCTCACTGTTATTGTTTTATGATGGCTGTCTGTTTAACTGGGTATGACACAACTGAAGTGTCAGTCAAATCGTTATCTGTTATATCGTGCAGCTCAGAATTTACCTACGCAAAATATGAACATTCGTTTTATTATAACTTTAGTTACAGTACACATAATAATCCGTCAAATAAAAAGTTTGCTGCTTCAGTGAACAGAAATTGTATGTAAAACTAGCAGCGACTAATTCGTCAACAATCATTGACCCTTTGATATAATAATAAACATGTAAAGCACCGGAACATACAAAGTGTGCAATACTGAAGCAAGGAATAATGATGAAGAGGAGATGGATCGATGGATAAAAAGTTAATCCGATGCATATCTAATGGTATTAATTAACATGAGAAGATCCATTAGATTCGATTTCGTCTTTCCCGTTATTCGTTCTGTGTGATCACACCTTTTCTGTATGTTTTGCCTTCGCATAAATGCATTCATAATTAGGCCGTGTAGGTTTTGAATACTAGTGCCTACTGATTCAAGAGGCAATGCCTTCGCTAAGACATTTCTTCTTAACCCACATTTAGTTCTAAGAGGCACAGACAGATATGCTTTCAGGAAAAAATTTTTGCTTCTAAGTTGCAGAAACCGGTTCCGTATAGTAATAATGCTCACAAGCTGAAAATCCACTAAGCATTAGAATCCAGAGACATTCTGACATTGTCAAGACAGCTCAGGGTCACGTCATGGTTGATAGTCGCAACAAACACTAAAAGAGCTAGAGACAAAAAATCGAGTCAGCATCGTTTTTTCCTTTTGCAGCGTACAGTTGTATTTCTCCGCTAACATTCTGAGAAGGGTTGATTCTTCGTTGTAGCGGCAGTTCGTAAATCGATCGTTAACTGTATGCAGAAGTTATGGAGCTGTTATCAAGCAACAACACTGATGATCCTAAAGTTCACACGATAGTCTGCGCACCCAGGTTCATTTCCTGTTACCATTACAGTCGCTAGTCACAGAATGCGTCCTTCAGCCTGTGTATTTGTTTTATTCATTC